CCTTTTATAGAGGTATTCACAAAAACAGAACAGCTGTTGACCCAATAACGTTTCAAAAGCAAACATTTGGAAGAACACCAAAAAGCCGGATATATAATACATGCAGTGGTATACAGAAACCACTGCACATAAGCTAGCGAGCCGTTTCTGTATTCTTAACTCTCTACAATTTTTAACGTTTCTTTATTGACACGCAACAGCTACGATGGTTTCCCTGGGAAGATTGCTCGTTGTACTGACCCTGTGCTTGGCCATCTTTGCCGGTTTTATCGAAGCCGGAAAGAGCAACAAAAACAAGCCGCTGCCGGATCCAAAGGACCCCAAGAACAAACCGCTACCTCCCTTGCCTGGAGACAAGCCGCTCCCGAAACCACCGACCATCACCGAACAAGCCAGGAGGCAGGGCCAACATCCTTAAGGGTAGGGATGCCATTGTCAGTTGGACTGTCGGCGACCTTGATCAGTCGTTTTTTTCCGGCTAATATTCACATATTTTACGAAACCAGTTTGACTGCGTTTTTCTAAATTGCTTCGGCAATGTCTGTAATTTGTACTTTGTATAAGAATGTTGCTGTCCGATGTACTGTCCGATATTCGGATTTAAGCGAATTTGGAACGATGTAAAGGCTTTGAGTCAAGATTGAATACGGATTTCTGGGATGGCGTTTCGAATATGAGCGAAGCAGATTTATTTATTCGCTGCTTCGTCTTTGACTCTCTGGTAGCACCAATTCGACTTGGACAAAATTACAAAGGGAAAAACGTATAGTGTAAACACATAAGTAATTTGCACGGATCCCATACAGATACGTATTCCGGCTAATGCGAGGGAAAGTTATGCTTTGGTTTTCTGACGTCTACCTTTCTATCTCACTGAGCCAGTAATTATTGAATCCCGTCTTCCGGGCAGGACCGGGCTCTTTGCTCTTTGATGAAGTTGCGCAACCGACAATAGCCGCCAGAAAACCGGTTGTGATGTAAAAGGTAACTGTCACGGCATAAGTACTGGCAGCTGTGTTGCAGAACATGCGGACGGAATAACAAGTCTCCTTTGCATCACTCGGAGTATGTAGTCGGGCCGTGCGAAATAGATTATGACAACTGGTGCCATTCTGCAAAATCTGTGTGCTTTTCGCCGTAAATTCCCTTCGGCGGTTGGTATTCACACGGCTCCTTCGAACTGTGTTTACTTTTTTTCCATTGACAAGTTCGATTCGCTCGCCAGTATTTTGAGAACGGGCTTACCAAACAGTTACAAGTTAAAATTAGGGCGAATCTATACCCCTTTTCTGTTAGATATTTCCTGCACCTTGCATTTTCCGCGGGCTATAGGCACCTATTTCTGTTTTATTTCTCAGAGGGCTGACAAAGATCTTTTGGACAGTTTTTTGGTTCACAAAAAATGTTTTGAAGATCTAACATGACTAAGACTCAGGCATTCACATAAAAAGATATATTAGGCACTCCATCGGGCAATGGGCCGGTTTGGCTGTTCGGCCAGAACAGATCGAAGCGTACGGCATATTCCACGCCAGTTCACGCGCATGACAATATCACCCTTCTGCAGGGTTTGCTTGTTCGCTTGTATCTGTTGCTTTCTGGGCATCTCAACAAGATCTCAGTTTCTATAACCTCTGCCAGCCACGCACGTTGGGTGGGAGCTTTGTTCTGGCATGCGCTCTTCCACAGTTTCACCATTGCCCACAGTAATTTGTGTTGGGCAACTGTCGCCGTACAACCGGAAACTTAATGGTCGCATCACGCGTTTCACGTCCGTAGTGCATGATAACTGAAGGAGAAAGTGCTCCGGAAGTGCATTTCAGGATACCCGCTTTAACAAACAGGTGGTCATTGGGCCATGTAAGGTGTACCTGCATTCTGCGGAGGGCGGAGGCTAATAGATTCGATCATGTGCTCTGTGCAAAAAGAATAAATACATAAGGGCCCGCCTAATGCAATTACGTCCTACGGTACTGGCATTCCGAACAACCCTTAATGCACGGGGACTCCTTATAATCTCAACTGAATGGCCTCTCAAACTTAAAGTTATGACATATTGGCTACGGCGGGGGCGGAGCTACTAAAGTACGGAACCAGAAAAACCGGAACGACTTACGGGATGTACAGTTTATCAGCGCCTTGTGTACGGCGTATTATTTTGACCTTTGCCAGAGTGGTTATAACTTGTAATGAATCTTTCAACTGAACAAGTACTCTTACTCTCGTTAATTACGTAATGGCCCTTTGCATACGTTCGTAAATTTTCCAAACGCAGCGACTTTTATCCCATTTATTGTACAGTATACGATTGTGAGTTAGTTGTGAGATTTGTGACAAGACATATGTAGTTCACATGTAGTAGTTTGCGTTAGTATCAATCAGTATCAACAATTCTGCAAAAATACGGCCAGATTATTATTAATTTTGTCTGGGATTCCGTCGGATTGTGATTAATTGATTTTGATATGGGTATTTGACTAGTCCCAAGTCGACACCGACACTGGGGAGTGTCCTAAGTGTTTGTTCATTAAGCCGACGAGCATTTTCAAGTAGATTTACCTGAGCACGATGGTATATTATGTGAAAAGCCTAATTTAATTTCAAGCACCTCTGGAATTGTTTGGGGCCGGAAATGCATGGACCTTTAAAGTATGATCCATGCTTTACAACGCCGGCGCCCAGGAACTATATCTAGGTCTCGTGCTTATTGGAAAACCGCATCCGATTGGTAGAAATCATGAAAGCGATTAGCATTATTAGTCCCAATCTTGCGGCTATTGTAACGTTTCATGGATAAAATGCACATTCTATTCGATCATGAACCTCCTCCGTAGCGAAATCATCGAACTGGACGTCTTCGGATGTAACATCACGCAAGCAACCGCGAGGATTTAAGAAACATGGATGCAGCCGAATTTAATAATGTGCAAGATTCAATCGGGTTTGCGTTTGAAGATTCCGAAAAAAAGCACTTCTCCGGAATGTCACAGATATCCAGTATCGGACTAGTGTACTGCACCATCGCTACGCCGGAGCCCATACACGTTTACTCATTTACCGTTCTTGGAGAATTTGTTGCTCGAAGCTAGCGGGGCTATCATATGTGTCGGCTGACGACGATCCCGAAATGTGCATCTTGGAACCGGGGATGCTCAGCGCCAAAGATTCCGAGTGGGTTCGGAAGCTGCATTGTGACTGATCGTATGTGTGGTACCACAACTTCATTAAAAAGATACCAGATCTAATTACCGACAAGGATACAGACGAAACTGGCAATAAGACCGGCCGAAACCAATATTATACACTGAAAGCCCGTAGTCAAAATCGCGGCCAAATAGTACTCAATTCGTTTAAGGAGAATTTATACCATGGCAGCAAGATGAAAATTAAATTTTCGAAATTCTAAAGTGTAATAAGAAGGGTTACATTTGTTACTGAGCGGAAGTTAAATTACGTAAAAACGAAAAAAGTTATTCAAGGTTTTCCCATTCCTTTTTTTTGCAATTGTTACTTCCGCAAAATAGCGACTTTCTTTCAGCAACTTTTACAATTCAGAATCATTTGATCGAGTTCAGACTTTAGCAGCATGGAGTGAAAAATTTATCACTGCGTTATGTCTAGTGCGTAGTTATGTTGCAGCACACACGCGTTGTGCCAGAGAGCATAGTGAAAATATGTCGAAATTGGTATATTCTCTTGTTAAACCACCTTCCCTTCAAACACCGACGCAGGAACTGTTTCGAAGAATTAATTTCCATGATTGCGCAAAATTCAGTTTAACGCGGCAAACATCTTGTTTTGTAATGAAATGCTTCTGTGAAATGATTATTGTGGAAATTCCTACAAACAGCGGTTTGGCGGTGATGTAATTCCTTGAAATATTGTACGAGTACCACTGATGCCGTTAATATACCAGTACAATATACAGATATTATTGTAGCTCATATTTTGCGCTGCACATACTCGTAAAATTCTTGTTCTACTTTGCTGATATAAAAGAAGAATGCGGTGCTGTTCGTATGGCGCATATCACCAAAATCAATTAAATCTAGGCATAATAGTTTATAAGTTTTGCCGAACCCAGCCGCGTATCTTGCTCTACCAAACATGAATGTTCTACGATCCGTCTGGATAATGTTGATCTTGATAGTCGCGAGTTTGGTAAGATGAAATCTAACATTTATTCTCAATTACCACCATATATCGATTCCACTATTCGTTTATACGAGTACGCATTTGGAACAACCCAGAGCTTAGAGTGGATGACCTTGTGCTGATGTTGCAAAGTTTGATGGTTACAAAGCGAATCCATATCAGTCTTATAGCATATATATAGAGCTGTATACTGTACTTAATATTTTCATCAAATGGTATAGGTTTTTGACATAAATTATTTTGAGGTTGACCAGAAATTACAGTGAAGAAATGGTACAGTACTAATCGTAAATAAATACTTTCATTTTGCAGCTGGTTGGACCTTCTGTATGTAGGATTTGCAACCCGGAAAACAGGCGATTGTGTCACGTTCACGAGGAAATCGTTAGAGATCCATCGAATGACCAGGGATCACTGTGAACGAAGCCGGCTATCCGATGGGCATCAAGGAAAACCTCAACAAGAGTTTTTTTAAAGAATTGGACAAAAGGCTGATCATATAGCGTTTCTGTACATGCTGTAGACATGAGGGTCGTACTTCACTTGTAGCCTGTTGCTTAAATCTCCGAGATTACGTGTACTAATTGTCGTCAGTAACCGGTGTCGGCCTTAGTGAATCACTGCCCCGTAGAAGGTAATATAAAATTTGCTCGGACATAAATTTCCAAGTTGCTCTGCATTTCATAACGGTGAATGCTGTCGTTTTGTGAAAATGTACTCGGTTACGTAAGAAAACAGTGCTACTAGATCATCTTGACTACAATGCTTAGCAATAACGCTTCGCAACGGGTTGTTCCTGCGTAGGGATCTAAGATTCTCCAAGACAGCTGCAACCCGAGAACACCAGGTCAGATTTAGTTTAGATGACGTTGATATCGTTTTTTATGTACGAAGGATCGAATTAAAACCATTGAAGTAGTCAGCTAGTTTACAAAAAGCTGACATGTACAGTCACAAACTCATTTCCGGTTTAAAACATAATTATACATATGTACCGTGTCAAACACATTAACGACAATCGGCGCTGTAAAGAAGGGAAATCAACTGCCCGTTTTACAACGACAGATACATATAAGCCCATAGTTTTTTACTCTTTTATTAGTGATTCGACGGCCTGTACGGTTTCCGCGTAGACCTTGCCCAAAGTGCCTTCATATTTAACCAGAAATCCAAGGAAATCTTGAGCGGCTCGGACGACTTCGGTATGATGCTGTGTGCTAGTGATGAGAACGGAGTCAGCAGCAAATTGGTATGCCGCCCCGATTTCCTTAGCAGCATGTGGCTTAAAATAGTCAACGACCTCGCTGACGCTCTTGATCAGTGCACTGTCATCAGCGGTAGCATCATTAGCCTTACCACTACCATTCACAAAGCCATCTATGAAAGCGATCTGCAAAAAAGCATAGTTAGTACCATAACAAACTGCATACTGTGGGTAGGGAAACGCACCACACGATGGGCTATCCGGACAGCTCTTTTGAACCACCTCCAAATTCTTCCGAAAAACCCTTTGATGCCTGTAACCAGTATCAAGTTTGTTCAAAAGAAAGCATCGAAGGTCAAGCAAATGGTTGGGGAGACCTTGTTCGGTGATCTTCGTAATCAACTCTCTGGCAATGGCCTGTGCCCCGCCGGCGTTGTCAAAGCCGTTCAGCTGCAGCTGACCTTTAGCAACACGCAGATCCGACACAATTTCCGCGCGACGACCTCGGTGGAATGTGTAAGGTCGTCGAAAGCTGACAAGGTTTGATTGGCTTGCCGAAGTAAGCTGGATGGGACGGTTTCTTGCGTGGCCTGTTGCACCTCGGCAACAGCTCGTTTGATGTATGGCTGAGTATCTGTACACCGTCATCATCACAGTGTTAAATACTGTAGAGTTAAAGACTTCAACTTATTATTGTTAATTCAAATTTTAGATTTGTTTATAAATCATAAATAATTTTAGTCCACAGAGTACGGTACTGTACTTTGTAAGATAGAGGAGGCAGTGGAAGCCGTAACCGCACAGGCAAGAATAACTACTAAACTATTCATGTTGAGTGAACTGGTGCACGACTGAAACTGTAATCGAAATTTTACCAAGCAGAAGAAAAAGGATAATGTTTAAAACAAAAGCTGAGTTAATTTTGGCTCGATAACTGTTTTACTTCGCAGCTTCGTCGGCTTTTTATATATGCCGGATGACTGACGGGTTAACCGGCTATTTTGCTCCAGAAGCAGCAGAAGGGCGGAACTTATATTTTGATCCTGTTCAAGCACATCCTCATACTCACTGCTGCGGCTCCCCAGACGGATATTCAAGCTCACTCACAATACAATTGTATCTCTAACCAGTGATAAAGTCTTTGTAAAATCCTCAGTGCTATCAATCACGTCGAGAAATGTGTTGGTTTTAGAGCAGTTATTTCGTGAATACGGAAGTCTTATCAGTGTGTTTGTCTTCAAGTGCCTGTTTACTGTTTTCTCAAATGCAAGGTTAACCGCTACTCTAAATGCATTACTATTTGTTTTCGTGACAAACTCCATTATACGCATAACATAGTTATGTAGTATTTCTTCTAATTCTCCATTTCCTCTCTGATGTTTTTGTGTCTTGCAAACGGTTAAGCATTACATAAAACGTGATGAAACAAAATGCAAAATACGGCTGAATAATACAATACGCCGGTGTAAACAACGGTACTTGTGATGTGGTACTCCAATTTTTGCTATTTACAATATATTAATTGTTGACCAGTAAGTAAGTAAACGACTGCGCACGTCTTATGTTTTCTTCATTTTAGCGGTGTTTGGATGGTATTCTACGAGTACGTTCGTTTTGTCTGCCTATCAATTTCCACAGCTAATGTCAGGTAAGGGTTTACACCAAATAAAAATCTTAATCATGGTGTTTTGATGAACGAATTTTCCGTGGTACTCTGTACAATGCAGAGCAAACATGTACTCATCTAATTTCGAGCATCGGTCTAATGTCATATTTTTAAAAATCGCATAGTTAAAATAATATTATCGGAGTTAAGCGGAATCGGTTTAATTTGTTATTGTTTTTTTCTACATAAATTTTGAGAACCGCTTAAGCTTTTGGTTCGTAAATTTGATATCCGTTTAACGATATATCATAATTTTATTTCCATATTTCAGCTCAATTTGTATTGGCCAATTGTGAGCAATAAGGATAAAAAACACACGTGAAAACGTTTCAGCTGCATCCATATACTTAATACTGCGCGCGCTATTTGTTTTGTTGCTCCGCGGTGCCGTCCGAGTCGACGACTTCGGATGGACTCTTACAATGGACTATTCCACAATTTTTTGGGGCCACGCCACCTTCAACGCCGGATATCGCAACAAGCTGAAAATGTTTTTTGTCAGTCTAGTTAGTTACTACAAGAGAGCTCTTATTATAATCTAGGAATACGTACTACGATCAGATTCAGTAAATGGATGAAAGGAAAGAAAATTATGCTCCAAAATTCCTAATTAATTTTTGTCTTTATTGTCGTATGACAGACATTTACACTTACCGCAGCAACAAGCGCTACCAACAACAGCATCCAAAGTGATTTCAGCACCTGCATTGTGGCTAACAAAACTGTATACCCAGAACGTTCAAATAATTGAAAACAGCTTAGTAGAACAATCTTTGACATAAATTCAACGTAACCGATAAGACAATTTCTTAAATATGCACGCAAACGATCTTTATATACTTTATGAGAAATTTTTTTGCTGCAGTGAACGTTGTTATGCGGAGTTGTTATGCATGTGATGTCATATAAAAGAAAAACATGGTGATTTGTGAGGTATTTCAGTGAACATTCAAAAGTTATACAAAATCAATTCGCGGATATATTTAGCCATGTTTGTTCTATTTTTTGAGTTTCATTAATGATTCATAGGTACAAAATGTCAACAGCCGATACGTAGTACGTAAAAGTGTTTACTGCTGTTTAGTGGTTAGTAATCACTGATTACTATCATTAATAATAATACGTTCGTTCCTTCCAGCAGTAGTGAAGGCATACATCGGTTCTGAAAATTTATGTAGAACGAAAACAATAACAAATTAAACGCTTCCGCAAAACGCCAATAATATTTTTGTAATTAAGCAGTCTATGAAAATATGACATTACACTAGACCGATTTGGACGTCAAGATCATAAGCTCCGCTGTTTGGAATATTTTGCCGTGTACATAATGAATGAGTACTAGTAGTGTTCAGAGTATACAGTACAGGCAATTCTGTGTCCATTTACGACAAGAGTTCATTAAACTATAACTAAAGTTTTTGTTGCGATGCATTTTTTCTAGACCAAAGAAAATTAATACGTGAGATAATTGTTTTCATAATCAATATACTTATTAACCAGCCTGGGTATGGTATTATCCTTCCCATATATCTGTAATTCACAGTCATTTTTGAGCAAGAATATTTTAAGGAAGTGGCCCGGTACATGGTACCAGATTCGTGTACATGCACGAATCTTTCTCTTTCGCGCCCTCCCAAACCCTTTTTCTCTTGTTTTATGACAATCTGTAGTCACATGATTTGTACACAGGCCTGAAAACCGTTTGCGCGCAACATTCGCGAGTTATGACTGTGAAAGAATTCCCAAAAGTTTAATACATTCAGGTGTATCAAAAGTCTCATTATGGACCGATCTCTTTCAGATTTTGCACGTAAATGCATAACCACGAAGAACGTTTTACACCGATCCACTGTTCTAGCATGTTTTCAAATTTTAAAATGAATTTCAAAAATTTTAAAATTCATTTTAAAATTTGAAAAAATCGTGGAAGTCTGGATCGGTGTAAAAACGATCTTCATGGCCATGTGCATTTACATGCAAAAATTTGAAGGAGATCGGTCTATAATGAGACGTTTGGTACACCGGAAAGCATTTAAACTTTTGGGAATTTTCTACCATAACTCGCGAACCTGATGTTGCGCGCGCAAACGGTTTTCAAGCATAAATCATTTGACTACAGAATGTTTTAAAACAAGAGAAAAAAGGGTTTGGGAGTGCGAAAGTGAAAAATTTTGTGCATGTATACGAATTTGTACCATGTACCGCCACTTCCCTAATTCGACAGGATACGGAAAGCATTAAAAGGGCTCTTTGCAAGCCGTGAAACATAGAAATGTACTACGATCACGACAAATGCACTCTAAAACGCGGGATGCCGCATTATTCCTGTAGAATGCATCCATTTCCGCACCTTTATTGCTTTTTGCGCAAACAAGTTCAGTAACGCATTTTAGATACATCGATCACGCATTGCACAGACAACAGTGGTCAATTAACTGGGACAGTGTAGCCGGGTTGGCTAATGTGCCCATTGAATTGTATTCCGTGCAGTTAATTATGCATTCGGTGCATTATCGAACTCCGGATGGCAGTGATCTTGGTAAAATGGTATTATACCCCACGATTACTATTACGTAACCGATGATGTCATTCGACTCAGTTTCTCTTTCTGAGTTGACTGGTCATAGCCTTTTGGGAGGAAAAGGTCATTTAAAGGTCACAGAGCACAATGCATTTCTATAGTGTTTTACCGTCACTCACGTCTAATTTGTTTGTTTTTACACAGTATCAAACTTTTCTCGACCTTTTCACAACAAACTCAAGGTCACCTAAAGGAAAAGTGTATAGAAAACAATACATTTATATAGTGTACATTTATACCTTTTTATCACTGGCGTGTGATTTGTTTGTTTTTACACAGTATCAAACTTTTCTCGACGTTTTACAAAAAATTTAAGAACTATATCATGCAAAATATTTTAAGAACCCCAAGAAACCTAAGAAACCTAAGAATCCTATGAAACCTAAGAAACCTAAGAAATCTAAGAATCCTAAGAAACCAAAGAATCCTAAGAAACATAAGAAACCTAAGAAACCTAAGAAAATTATATCATGCAAAATATTTTAAGAACCCCAAAAATCCTAAGAAGCCTAAGAAACCTAAGAAACCTAAGAAACCTAAAAAAATTATATCATGCAAAATAGTTTAAGAATCCTAAGAAACCTAAGGAACCTAAGAAATCTAAGAATCCTAAGAATCCTAAGAAAGCTAAGAATCCTAAGAATCCTAAGAATCCTAAGAATCCTAAGAAACCTAAGAAACCTAAGAATCCTAAGAAACCTAAGAAACCAAAGAGATCTAAGAAACCTACGTAAGAAACCACTGTTAAAATAAAACAGTAACATTATTGACCTAAGAAAGAAACCCTAAGAACCTAAGAAACCACCGCTGATATAAAACAGTAACCTTATTGACCTAAGAAAGAAACCCCAAGAACCTAAGAAACCACCGCTAATATAAAACAGTAACCTGATTGACCTAGGAAAGAAACCCTGAGAACCTGAGAAACCAACTGTAATGTAGAACGGTAACTTGAATGACTTGATCACGTGATCCTGGATCCACGTGAACTATGCATTGTTCGACTCGCAGTCTTTTTCTGAACAAAATAACTATAGGATGTTCACTTCTGCGAAGAAAACACCAGAAATTTAATAACAAAATTTATATATATATATATATATATATATATAGCATTTTTGACCGTGACCTTTAGATGACCTTTTCCTCCCTTAAGGTCATCGCCATTCGACTCAGAAAAAAATACTGAGTCGAATGGAGCCATCGGTTACGTCATAGCAATCGTGGGGTATATTACCATTATACCGTGATCTTGATGGTGCATTCAGATCAGCTGATCCATTCTTCGGGACGAAGAATCTAAGCGGAGGGTAATGTTACGATCGTGGAGGTTTACGATCATGGACACTGGACAGCGTGGATTGCATGGCTGTATGTATCTTTATGGTGATATTGAAGCAAGTGATATAAAATAGAAGCAAATGATATTTATTTCTTTGCCGCATTATTCGGCTGTGCCATCCGGATCGGCAACGGAGTCCTCCAGTTCCGGTACACAGCCGACCGGCGCGGGACAGCGGCGCTTCTTTCCGTCCACGCCGGACATTGCGCTGAACTACAATGGAATCATCAATAAACCAAGGGAATCAACATTGATTTACCAGAATCAGTGTATTAATCAGATATTTTCGACAAATATCATGAGCATCATGATGGCGTACCGTAGCGAGCACTGCAACCAACAGCACCATCCAAAGGAGCCTCACTGTTTGCATGGTTTCTTTCTTTTTAAGTTAAGGAATATACAGGCAAAGAAATCTCTTATGCGCAGAACATTTATTTGCGGTAAACGGTTTGTGAAACGCTGATATACATAAACGAGCGTTTTATATACAAACTACAAAGCACAGACTATGTTAGCATAGGTAAATGCCGTACGCACTTGTAAGTTGTACATAACTTATAGCTTGCGAATTCATTGGTAAACAACAATTCAACGGTGGTTTGTCCATTAAATTCGTTATTAATATGAGTGTATCTGTGTATGTACTCGTACTGTATTATACTATGTACAGTAGATGTGGTGCATACGGTATCAGAGTTATTGTGACGCACCGTTGTTGTTTTGAGCATGACTTGCGGTACATCGTGCCGCTTTACCAGTAATTCTTACCAGTATCCTGCAGTATACACTGTACATCAGAAAATAATTGCAAATTTTGTATCCCTCGCGGAGTTTTTGTCGCGGAGTGCGTTCTGAATTGTTAACAATTTCTTCGTGGCAAAACCCCATAAAACCACCCCATAAACTCGTAGTTGTGAACTGGTACTGCTGGATAAAATGATGGAATCGACGGCATAAACAATTTTCACTAGGAATAAAATCATATAAAATTATCTTCTCTGATGGATGCCTATGTGGCAGTTTAACTGGTGCTAGCGCTAGAATTCAAGGCGTGGCTTTACTTTGACTAATCGGTAAACTTCTTTATTAATCACTCCAACCAAAGAAAACTCGATGCTGCTTGCACTGATAAATATTTCCATACAGTAACTGTCTTCTATTCGTACAGCGGCACAAATAGTTATTTTCTTCCAATGGATAAGAAATCGGATTACTTGTTTCTATTATTGCTATGCTTAATCTTTTCTAAGCGTACGTTATTGATTGGCAGTTTAAAGTTTTATACGTTTCTCAAAAAGGAGCAACTGGGAAAAACACGAACATGTACAATACATTATCCAAACATCGGGAAGAAAAAAAGATTACTAGCATCCAAGACATGTAAAGCTTTAAAGTACTAAGGCACTTACAGCTAATTATAAGGCACTTACACCGGCTGCGAAGAATGTATCACTTAAGGGATATTCCTCAATAACATGCTCACTACTGCTAATTAGCTCCGTCGATCATGTAATCACACATTCCTGCGCGAGCGTTGGCACGGATGCAGATTTGCTTTTCTTATTCCATGCACTCCACGGCAGCCAACACGATCTGATTTACTCTTAGGAACAGTTTACGGGGAAGCCGCAGCTGTCAGTGATGCAGTAACTGGAACTTTTTCCGCCGGCATTTGTTCCACACAGGGAACCTGATCATTACAGACGCTGTAATACAATGAGGAATTCCTTACTGTCCGCTTGCCTTACACTTTTGGTAATCGAGCAGATAACTGGTAAGCAATTCTCGTTCCCGTACCTGGTTCATTTTATTTACATTTAAGTTATGTAACTCAATTCAGTTTAGCTAACCTGCTGTTAAAATTGCACTTAAATATAAATGCTAACGCATTTAAAGATTTTAAGTACTTATTTGTTGCTTGAATTTTTTTTATTGGACAGAATCTATCCTATACATAGTCATTATTAATAATTATCTGTACAGTAATTGCCGTTTTCAACATGTAGATTTTTTTTAACATGTTGAATATGGTTTTCGGGGTTAAGCGTAGGAAGCTTAATCTGATTTCAATAATTGCAGGCAGCCAACGAACGCCCCTCACCGCCGCCGGTAACGAGCGAGCCTTGGCGCAGTCCGATGGCACGTGCGGATGTCCCTGGATTGAATATCTCTGCGAGCGCCGCTGCGTGGAGAAGGGATACACGCGCGGTGGTAAATGTCATCGATATGTTAAATTATCCTGTGGATGCTACGGTGAACGAGGCCGGCTACGGTACAATGTATGCTGATACATGCTGATGCAGCCAACAGCTTCAGTGGCCACAGTGAACGAGCTGGTGGAAATACTATAATTTACAATAAAAAAATTAAAAATTTGGCAGTGTAATTATTGTTGCTGGTTGATACATGCAGTATTGGTAACTTTTTGAGGGCCTAGCATTCAGCCCCGCTTATTGTGTTGGGTTCGTTGTGGAAAAGTATAAGTTGTTTGCGTAATTGTTAGCAATCATTTTACGTTGTTAATGAGCACAAATAAACCTGTTACAACTTGCTAGCTAATAAACCTAATTTTTCCTATGCTTCACTCAATTTTGCTTATCGAAGTTGCTATTTTGTAGCCTTGCATAACGTGACAAACGGTAAACGATCAATAAGGGTAATATATTTCGAAGGGACAACTTCCGGGCTGTATACCGAAACAGCCGCGCAGATCTTAAAATGCCTTTTCTCTTTGTTAGCTATTTTCAGTTTTATGGATCATAGTAGTTATATATTTTGATATGAAATATGTTTACCGCTGCAGCCGAACAAATAAACAACGTGGAACTGAATAATCGTCGACGCCAGCGTGCATGAAATGTCCATTCCGCATTTCATTACCAGCATATCAAAGGCTGCTTTACTCGGTGGTGCACCGCATACTGCATATGTACAGTCACTAGAAAAATGCGTAATACTACAGTGAAATTTCGACGCTTCCACAACGCCCAGTTTCTGGGATTCTGGCAGTACGAGCAGTTATATTTACGGCGTATTTACACATCAGATGTTATGTTCACTTTACGATTGTTACTATCCCGTTATCTGCTTTGTCATACAGCACTTACGTGATGCGACAGAATGCGGAAGATATATATTTGGCGGAAGGTATACTGGCGATATTTTTCTTAGTAATCACATCTGGATACCAGCTTACTATTTGAAAAGGTCATCATATCCTGCATTACATATTCTGTATATGTTCTGGAGTTTTGTCGGATCAAAAATGGCGAAATTAATATTACTGGGTGTTTTGGGTTTATGTCTCTTGTTAAACCACGTTGCGAGTAAGTCTAATAAGGCAGCAAAGTACGGATACGAATCACACAATGCATATAGTCACGCTCCGCTACCACTCAATATAATTAATTACTCAAAATTAATTAATTGAACAGTTCGGTCTTCTGTGGCACATGTGTTTGTAAAGCAAAAGCATACAGAGTTTTAGGAATGTTGATGATTATTAACTGCGCTACTTTCCTGAAGGTCAAGCAGGAAGAGGAAATGGGACGCGACCGGTCATTCCGCGACCGGTTATCTCGTGTGGATGCCCAAAAACTGAATTGTGCAACGAAACCTGCAAAAAACAGGATAACAAAAGGGACGTTGCCGTGGAAAATTGTGTGTGCCAGGATCAGCGGCTCAAATGGTCCTCCATCCAAAAGTGTTAAGTCCAGAACCGGCTTAAGATGCGGAGTCCTTTTTCAAGCCCATATGGACTTCTTTATCAATTCCTGCACACGGCTCCTATATTCATCTTTAACTGCTAAATATGATATCGGCTTT